TTTTTGCGTGTTAGTGGTGTTATATATAGACACAAAAAGTATTACGTACTAAGAAAACCTATTATTATTTTATTTATTTCATGCTAATTAAATATTAGAAACAAATATTTTTCAAATAACATTTAAATAATATTTAAAAAATATTTCCTTTTGCTCTGAAATATTTGCTATTCATTGATCGATGAAAATTCAGATAAATGTTCTAAAGTTTGTTCACATTTATTAAAAATAATATATTAGTAACTTTTTGGGTGTTAAGGTTGTTATATATAGGTACAAAAAGTATTATGTAATAAGAAAATTATTAATAACTTATTTGTTTCATGCTAATTAAATATAAGAAACAAATATTTTAAAAATAATATTTAAGATATACTTGCTTTTGATCGGAAATATTTAGCAAACATATGAATATTTCCTAAATACGTATGTAAGATTTTGTGCTATCTGGGAAATGACTGAAACCCAGGAATTAATTTTGATTTGGAATTGAAACAGTCAGGAAAGTATGTACAGTAAGTTTAATGTTAACACTGTCGAATACTGATAAAAATTTGGATTACAAGCAGTCGAGTTTTGTTTGTTGCTTACCTCAGATACCTATGGACAATCATCTGCGGAATCGCCATGATTTGCACCAGAATCGGCTTATTGGCCAGTCCTTTAAAGTACTGGTAAGCCAGTAGAAATCCCGAAATGAAGAAAAATGTATCGACAGCAAGATGGGCCGTTGTCAAATACTGGGCATATCTTTCCGATTCGAACTCTTCAACTTCCCTCCGATTGGTAACTGGAAGAAAGGTAAACGCTCCTGCCGCATGGCCCGCTATAATCCACATCATGCTGATCACTTTGATTCCGTGAAAAGAGAGGATTTGGTCGCTGTTGGCGGTCTGCTGGGTGGTTCCGGTCAGCTTCCGGCCGTTGTTGAAGACGGAAAATGCTGTTAGAAGCGGCGATGAGTTTTCTGAAAGAACTTGTTAGTAGGCAGGGATTTTCCGATTGATAGTCAACTTACTGGTTTTTCGCTGATGCAGAAACACTTCGTAGAAAGTGCAAAGAATGACCAGCAGCAGAACAAGGCAGAAGAGCGTACTGAAAAACAGATTCGCCTAATTTTGTTGCAGGATTTGTCAATTTGTGATGCTGGTGAAGAGCAAGTTAGCAATGATAAAATTAATGAAAATCACTATTAGGTAAATTGGGCAATTGAACGGATGCAACAAACATTTTACAAATATAAAATCCGAGTTGACCCATTGAAAGTATTCAAGCAGGCGGCTTTATGGTTACGCTGCAAAGTTCAGGGTGTCATAAAGAACTTTCAATCTCCGCTCCCAAAACTCCTCCGGATTAAAATGTAATTTATATTTTATGACCCTTTCGCTACTGAGACGATATGAATGACATCGTTATTTATGGTTTTATCTTTACGCGACTTATGAAATAACGTGTGCACGTTGGAGTATGGGTTTTGCAATATGGCGCTTTATATACTGGATTGAAAAATTACATATGAAAGTTTCCCTTCTAGGCAATTATTATCAAAGATTGTGGCTTAAGTAGATTTTCTCTCAAGGCATCGTTGTTTAAATTTTCAGTTTTGTGGCTAAACTGAAGTATTGAAGAGTTAGAATAGTTAGTTAGAAGAATAAGTTAGGAAGGTCTTCTCTAACAGAAGCTGTTACTGCGTGAGTTTTTTTCGTATAAATCGGTGTTTGCTTTATGCTAAAAGCCATTTGATTTTTCGGAGTTTCGCAGGTCAATCTACATTTATCATCCACCCTCAAGACTGAGGTTTAATGGCATCCAATCAAGTATTTGAGAACTATTTTGAGTCGATCTCAAAATCAAATTTCTTTAGTAAAGAGCCCTAAAAGCCACTGAAGTTTTCAAGAAGATGCTTTCTAGCAATTATGAAAGCGATATTTTTCTTCTTGATTAACAAAAAATGGACAATAATCCCTAACATTATTTTTTGAGAAGTAATTAACAAACAAATCACTAGCAGATTTCGAAACATTGAGCAAATGCTTCAGAAATAACTACTTACGCTACAGCTATAGAGGAGGCATCCCAGGCTCCAAAAGTCTCCGAAGTAGAGCATATTTGCTCGTTTATCAACTGAGAGACGCTGTCTTCTGGTAGAAAACCGCTGTTAACCAATCTGAGCAAATCACGGGCGCTACATCCATCCGGTACGCAGTAACTCAACGAGTAAAATTGCTAAAATTCATTCAACATCCATAAATATTTTGCAGAAAAGTCACTTAATTTCTTGCAATTTTTATCCAAGTGTGCTTTCTTGTGCTCAAAAGTATGCCCGAATGTCCGAAAATTAGACAGTCAACAGTAGGCCTGGGTAACACTGGGTTGAGCTGCGTTATTGAGGTGTTGCCGCTCTTTGAGTTAACGAGTTATCGGTTCTCATCGGTTCATGAGTTATAAGTGAATTATTAACGCTTTGCGAGACCAGAGACTGGAATTTTCATATCTAAAAAAAGATCATCCAAAGAAAGTCGACGAGTTTTCCTGTAAAATCGATCTCTTCATTTTTTTGCATAAAAGATTCAGTTTGCCAGTATTTTACAGTAAAACGTTAGGAAACATGCGGGTTTTCTGTTTAGAGACAGTGTTGTTTAGAAATATTGCTCTAAAAGTGAAGAATCTCCAGTTTCCAAGAGTTTTCCAAATAACTGATTATAAACTTTCGCCTTTTCAGTTCGGGGAAATATTTTTGGAAAAATATCCAGAAATAATTATTAGGGTTTTGTCCATAGTTCGAAGCTGCAAAAAGTTTCGCAAACATTTTTTGCAAAGCGGTTAAGGAGGCGAGTGTTCCAATAAAATGGATCTTATAATTTTTCAGAGAAACTACCTGAATATTGTCAGTATTTTAAGTGAAACAAAAAAATTATGCGATTTTTGAGTAGAAAGAATTGCTCAATAGAAACTTTGTTAAAACTGGAATAACCTGAAAGATTAAAGAAACTTTAGAAATCTTCAGAGTGATAAGGGGGCCGAATTTTACAAATAATTTTTTGAAAACTTTGCTCTCTAGTCGTTTTTTCATGATAGTTCTAATTACTTTCGGTAAAAACTGAACAAAATTACTTGGTTTGTGTGCCAAATTCGAAGCTGAAATGGGTTTTCGAAAGTTCCGTGCAAACCGATGAATGAGGCGAATTTTCTAGCAAAATAAATTTTATCAAAAGAGATAGACTTTCGAGACCATTTCTTAAAACTAATGGGTTTTTCGGGTTTTTACGCCGTCGTTCGGTAGAATTTCTTCCTGACGTTTCGCGAGCACGAGTGGCTTGCATCTTCAGAAGTGGTTTGCTTGAACAGTGTAAGCCTAAAAACCCGAAAAACCCATTAGTTTCAAAATTAATTTTGTCATTTTTGGCTGAAAAGAACAGAATCATCAGAAAATAATGCTTTGGCATGGAAACCCTTAATGGTTTTCGTGGAAAAACGGCAGAAATTTATTTTCGTTTTTGTCCCGAATTCGACGCTAAAAAAAGTTTTTGTAAAATTTATACTTTCGGTAAAAAACTGAATTAAATCATTTTGTTTTTGTGTTAAATTCGAAGCTGAAATGGGTTTTCTAAAGTTCCCTGCAAACCGATGAATGAGGAAAATTTTCTAACAAAGTTGATTTTGTCATTTTTGGTTGAAAAAAACCCTTATTGTCAGAAGAGAAGAAAATCATCAGAAAATAAAGGTTTTTTGCGTTTTCGATTAAAATGAATTAAATCTTAATGGTTTTCGGGGAAAAACGGGAGGAATTACTTTCGTTTTTGTTGCGAATTCGACGGTGGAAAAAGTTTTTGAAAATTTTTTATTCTATAAAATAGCGCGTTTTTGAGTAGAAAGTAAAGCAAAAAAAATTCAGTCCAAACTAAAAAACCAAATTTTTTATAAATTCTACAGGAATTGAGGTGACGAGATTTCCAAATAATTTGTTATAAACTTTCGCTAATTCTGTTCATTTCTCTATAGAAAATTATTTGATTTTTGTTCCAAATTCGAAGCTGGAAAGGGATTTCAAAACTTTTTACAAAGCGACAAAGGATTCGAAATTTATTTCGTAATTTGTCGCCGAAAATACCATAAGATTGTCAGCATTTTTACGTAAAACTTAAAAAAATTGAGCATTTGGAAGAAAGAGCAACTTGGCCAAAACTGAAAAATTCTGAAATTTTGAAGAAATTTTAAGTGTTATTAACAAATGGCTCTTAAAATAAATGTAAAAACAAGTAAAAAATTTCATCACTTTCCCAGCAACGTAACTGAGTTACTGCGCCGGTGCGTTGGGTTGGCGCACCAAGCCACTTGCGTAGCACTGCGCCAACTCCAAAAAATTCACTAAGGTACCCAGGCCTAGCCAACAGACCTCCAGTCTAGTTGATGGTATAAATTTCGGAAACATTTCACTTTTACACGTATTGCAAACATTCACGCTTACGTTAAAAGTTAAATCCACTGGAATTGCCAGTCCAAAAGTACATTGTTTGCCCAAGATTCTGGGCCCTTCTACGGGCTCATAATTAATGGACAAGCATTGATCGAAAGCGCCATAATCGCCTCTCGATGCTGTAAGCATTCCTGCGTATGGGTATTTAGACCAAGCATCCGCCACTGAAAAATTCATGTTTTTTAGTCAATAGCATTAATAATCAATCAACAAAAGAGTTAAAGAAAAGCGACCAGTTTCAAGCAATGGTCGCGTAAAACTACTTTTATATTAATTAACTCTTTTTATATTAACTGCTTCTGATGATTTTGAATTTTTATTGTTTTTGCCAGTGCTTCATGCATAAATGCACGCTTTGGGAAAAAATGTGGCGTTTTTTATGGTAAATTTTATGATTCCCAAATTTTTTAAAGTCCAATGTTTATCTGCACAGTCTAGACGATTATTAGTTAAATTTCATTGACTCGATAAGTATCTATGACTGAAAAAATGTATTTCTTGTCTACGTTGAAATGTTTCGTAAGACTGTGTTCCATTTAACCTGAACTTTTGGGCTAAAATAATAAATAATCATTAGGATTAGCGCTACCGTTTGTGAATGATAAGCCGGATGTATCACTTTAAACTGGCGTGTAACAGTCGATTTGTGTTTTATTGATACGTGGACGGTTTTATTGGCTTTTATCAGCTTGTCTAACTTATTAAACGCTCATTATGATGATATATTTTCATAGGTATTTATTAATGGTAACACGCTGACTAAGCAGTGCGAAAAAAACGGAAAATCCCCCTTAACTTTTATAAAATGTTTGATTTTGGAAAGTGTGTTTTATTTTATATTTATTTTAATTTTTAGGTTTTTGTATTTAATTAAAATAGGTAGATAAAAAAACAGCTTGCTTAGAGGAAAAATATACAGGGTGTTACAGAGTGAAGCAAAAACCTACGGTAGAATTTTCTAGAGTTTTCCGAAACTGTTGGGTTGTTTTTCAAGATTTTTTCGTTAATACAGACGATGTTTTAGCAAACTTCAAAAAAAACTCCCATTGAATCTGTAGAATTCCGTGCTTAATGAACCCGATTATACTTACTCAAAGTCACCACTTCGGTGTTATTGCAAACAGCCTCCATCTGAAGAGCGCACACTTCACTGATATTCAGTTCGGAAAACTGTGCGTCGCACAAAAAGTTCAAATAAAACTCCGAAACATCCAACTTCCGTTCACTTGCTGGTGAGTCTCTGGCTAAATTCAAAATTTTCAGATTCTCCTCCATCATTTTGCGTGCATCGAAACCGCACACAAAAGAACCAACGCTCAACAGAACTGTTGAGAGGTAGAAGAAACGCGTCATTTCTGCAGGTTTCCGCTACTTTACTACTAGGAAGACTAGTCGATTCTCAAATTACAGGAATATACCGGATTTGTAGATAACAAAGTAGAGGTAGATGGGATAAGTTCATCAATCTTTCCCTTGTCAGAAAATTTCAAAAAATATGATTCTCACGACATTTTTATGGGCGTATTAGCAGGAAATAATCCTTTGGAATATAAGGCAGATCATTGTCAGTTTACATGAGTTCTGGTGCGATTTCGCAAAATAATGGTTATTAATTGTAAGAACTTTGCATTAAATTTAATGGTTGCTTTTAAGCAAAAACAATTATCAAATAGCTGAATTTTTACCAGAAAAAAATATATTTTTTTCCTTTAAGCGAAACAGTGTACGCTATTCCTGAATTCCGTAGAATTCAGCCAGAATTTTGTTTTGCAGAGTCATTTGGGATAAAATGTAAGTCCCAAGTTCCAAACTGCTTCGTCAAGATAAACCGTGGAAGAGCTGATGATCTTCGATTTGAATCCGAATTGGTATCTGGACTTGATCCAAAAAAACGGTAATTTTATTTCAAAATTAAGGAAATTAAATGGGGAACGTTGGGAAATCAAGCCACATCATGAATGTTCGTCTCTATTTATAAACTACTTCTATAATTAGTGTAACTTTTTCTTGACCTGTCACAAGCTTGAGCCTCTTTACCTTGAAAGCACTGATACTACTGAGTATGCAAGTTTCAGCCTCTAGAAATAAAATTGAATCGAAAAAAATATAAATAACAAAATTGAAAGGAACGCCTAAGGGAAACAAGCAGGGGTTTAAGCAGAAGCAGGTAAAACTTTAAAAACTTCACGTGATAATCAAAAGAATATAACTAAATATCCAGGATAAATGAAAATCGATCACTAAATTTGCGAAAGATGACGCAAAAACGTTCACATCTTTCTGGCTGCTTCTCATTGAAATTGAGCGTGTTTGTGAAAGATGTAATCGAAACGTTGAATAGGGACAGGACGCAACTATTTCTGTACATCTATAATATTCTGTTTAATTTTCACGGATTTTTCACCCGCCTGAGAGCATGAGTTTGCATTAAATGCTGGTCTGTTCAGACTGCTCAGCTCGGATTGTTCAAAATCATTACCCCCAAAAAATGTTTAGCTGTTTTAATCGATTTCTAAATATTGACTGTTAACTTTCAACAGTTCTCTAAAATTTGCCAATTTTTCTTCAATGTTTTTAAGGTTAGAATCTTTTTATACAGGGTGTCCCACCGGGAACCGCCGTGATCGAATCGGACAAACCCTAAGTATGAGAAACTTGAAAATGGGACAGTCTGCCAAGGTCATTGGGGGCAAGCGGTCAAAAGTATTTTCAAAATGGCCACACTTCCGGTTATACCGGAAGTAGGTATCAACTTGCTTATTTTAAATGGAACACCCTATATATTATTACATTTTTGACTTCTACTCCAAGTTCTACGTTTTTGATATATTTGGAATTTTATGTAAAAAAATCCATAAATAATAAATAAGTTTAAATAATCTTCGTTTGTATAATTTAAGCGCCCGGGCATGATTATTAAATATTTTCAAAAGGTTTCTGACAGCTGTCAGCATCCCTTTGGCATTTTATTGTATTAAAGTGGCCACTTTGTCATGGCAACTAAGAGTGACAGGATTTTAAA